TATGATGCTTGTAAATTATAGTGGTTATACTTGCGCAGCAACAACAATTACTGATGGCCTTGGAAATGCACTGATAGGACGAAGATAAATGGGACTCGCATGGAAGTTTATGTTCTCAGAAAAGGGGTTAGTTACAATTTATTTTGAATATGTATGTATGTATATGTGCTGTAAGGACGGGAATATTGATGCACGAAATATTAAAATGAAAATGTGTAGCAGCACAATCTTATAATACCTATTATCGAACCTGTCGTGTTCAATTATTACACTGTATATAAATTTTTTTACTCACGCACATTCCAATCATTTTTATATTGAGATATATATTAATAAAATATTATAAAATGATAGGTTTTGAAATATATTTATTTAAATTAGACGTACAGCAATTTAAATTTCACAGCAATGTACTGATAATCGAGATGTTATTGGTAAAAATATAATTTTCTACAAGATTAAAAGATTTTTAAGAGGAATTGATAAATTTCTAAAAGAAAATCATTTTTGAAGAAAAGAATATTGGAAGAAAATTACTTCTTTTAAAAGACAAAAATACTATCATATTTTAAGAAAATAATTTTTGAAGAAAATAATTTTTTTTGGAGTATTCATGGTATTATAATTTGGATATAAATACTGAGGAGTGTTGTTGTCTATCGCGGGTTCATCTGCCTTTAAAAACAAGTTTTTCGTCAGGCGACTGCAGCGCTTCTTATCCGTCATTATGGACCTCCTCTCCTGCGGGAATATAAGAGGTCAACGCTCTTCTCAATCGTGACGCAGCAAGAGAGCCACAACTAGATTCTTAAGGGGAAATCTACATTATCGTATAACAAGCATCCAGGCTTCCTGGACCTGTGACTATTGGGTACCGTATTATATACAGAAAATTCTAGTTGCTAGGCCAAGTCTACCTCGATTTTAAGAATGATCGCCAGACAGGTATGAGCTACATGTGACGGGGAAAAAAAAATTCTATACCTGCATTCGATCAGAATCTCCCCACCTTTTATTCGAATCATTGTGAATCAGTTTTTAAGAAAGAAAATCTCAGATACTCTCATTTTTATATATTTTCCACTATATCAATGGGGTTTCTTTTTAATAGAAAAGGGGAGCTATTCAACAAATTTTGGCGGGAAATGTTGCATTTTATAACTTATTTGTTATTCGAACAATAAGAATATTATTTTTAGAGTCAGTTTTTCAAGAAAGGAATTTTAAATCCAAATATGATGTTTCACGGTGAAAGGGACTAAATACTTTAGGCTTATTTATCCATGAACGTGTACGGAGAAATGAGCCTAACGTATTTTTTCCGTTAGGTCCTATAGGTTAGGCATCATAAATATTAAAATAATGATTCTAATTAAAATTAAAAGAATTATTTGTAAGAATTTCCCTTCTTTGTTATACTTTTACTAAAAGATAAAATAAAGAAAATCTATTATCGTTTCTAGATCATTATTTAACCTGTTTCAATTGCATTCTTACGATTTTTGCACGCTAACGAGTAAATACATCATCTACAAGGGCAGAAGGCGATTTTTCTTGTTTGAAAAAGGGGACGTGCGTTTGTAAGTTTTTGTTTTGTGTTTGTAATAAGCAGTCATGGTAGGCCCTTTATAGTAAGCTCGCGATCGTAGTACGACGACGTAGTAAGACTTGCAGAACCAGTGCGAGGGGAGAGGAGAACGAAGAAGTTTAAGAGGGAGCATCAGAAAACAGGAAGAAAAAGAAGAAACAAGTTGGAAGATACGTCAGAAGAATATTAATGCATCTTTGAGTCTTGTTCGCACTTTTCTGAGGCTGTGAGCGTTTATTCTCTAACACAGAGACTTTCTTTATTTTGTTAGTTCTTGCGTCCTTAAGATTCTTAGTATTAGCCCTTTCTTTCTCTCTTATATTCATTCTTATCCCTTCCAAAGTGAGTGCATTTATCTCTTTGTTTCACTTTTGATACACGTGCTTTTAAACCTCTTGACACACTTGCATCAATAAAAAGCAACAAAGAGATATCTTCATTTGGCATTTGGAATGACAGTGAACTTCTCAGAATTATCAAGTCACTTTTGCGTCGTTGCAGATGAGAAGAACAATTAATGACGTTTGATATCAATATTCGAGGAATTTGATTCAGCCTTTGAAATTGAATTTAAATCGCATATAGCGTCGACTTGTAATAGTTGTTAATTTTTAAAATTCCAGTTTAAAAAATAAAGCAAGCGTTACTGATATCCCTAAAAATTATTACATTTTTGGTTTTTTTGAAATTCATACAATAAAAGTTTTTATAATGTAAAATAATAAAAATAATTGTCTGAATAAAAATGACAAAAAAATGTGGAACGCTTCACGATTTTGCGTGTCATCCTTGCGCAGGGGCCATGCTAATCTTCTCTGTATCGTTCCAATTTTAGTATATGTACTGCCGAAGCAAGTACGAAAGATAGGGACAAATGTTTCCTTATATACTAAACATCGATTTCCTATCACCACTTGCGAGAGACATTTTACATTAAGCAACGACATGTAGCCTCCTAGTGGTGTTTAACATAACTAAATGTAATTAGAAATTCCTACACGGTCGATAAAAACGTACCGAATAAAATAAGACACATTTTTTTTACTGATTGCACACATTTGTTGCAATAAAAAAAAAGAAGAAAACTCAAAATCGATTCAAATTGCAAGAGAAGAACGAACAATCGTTGCAATGAAGAACTGCGAGTATCATTATATGTCAAGATAGGGTTAGACCTTTGCCTCTCTCAGTACCTTTTTCGCAATATGCTCCCACGTTATTCGAGGGGTTTTAAAGACCTCGGGGGTCAAGGTCAGGGTCATTTCAAGACCTTTATACGAATTTCAACGGGCATATATGTATATATATATATAGAAGTGGGAAAGGGTATATACAAAAATATGTTATACAATTTTATGAAAATCAAAATCTCATACCAATATATAATACGTTGAGGATTTATCATCAACGAAATCGTTATGGGTGCGCGAGAACCATATGTAAATAAGGCACCAAGAGGTCTTTGTGACTAGGACATAAAGCAACCACGAAACAGCCGCGAAATGACAAAAAGGCAAACTCTGGCCAAAAGCGGTCCCGGTCATTATCGCGCCAGTCGCATAATGCACGTTAATTATTATTATACTCGGAGCCCCTGGACAGTTTCTTTTCTTATTTCTTTTTTTTCAAAAGCAAAAGGGCACCCAGAGGGGTCAAAAATAAGTAAAAGTGGAAAAAGAGAGAAAGAATATCGTGAAGGGGATAATGGCTACTCCCAAGGTGGTGCGGAATATTCTTTTCAGGCAGCCACATCCTCCACCCACTCTGGCGCGAGGCGTTGCATATTTAAAATGCAAATCTGAACGCCAATAAATCTCTTGTACATGGGTTCGAGTAGTCTGCGCAACATTTCTTCTTCGTCTTTTCGCTCAACTAACTCTTCTCCTCTCATTTTAACTTCCACTTTTTTTCCCCACATACCCATTTCATTGCTTGTCTCAAAACGCACTTCCATGACTGCTTCTCGTCTTCCAAACGTATTGCTCTTGCTGCCTCTCATATTTATAAAAAAAAGACCCCCCCTTAAGATATTTTACAATTCGACAAAATTTTCTTTTTTTTTTTTTTTTTTTTTTTTTACAAAAGTGATATTTTCCTAGAAATCAATAATTATTATTCGACGAGACACGACTAATTTTGTAAAATGCTTTGCATGATTTATGCCAAAGAAACAAATGAATATCCTTTTTTGCGACATTTAAATTATTTCCATATATGTAAATAAATTTACAAAAGAAATTTAAAAGAAACATTTTTTTTATATATGTATATAAAAAAATTTTATTATACTCCAATTAAATTGGAAGTATATAATTAAGAAATGAATCTTATTGGTGATTTTATATTTCTATATTTTATCTAAATTAAAAAATTTTTCTTTTCTTTTATTCACACCTGCGAGAACTCAAATTTGCAACTTCTTTCCAGTTGAAAAATGCGATTAAACCGGTCGTATTGATCCCTTTTCGATGATCCTGACAGAAGACAAGCCCTCGGACCCAATTGCAATCTTAAAACCGGATCACGAATATATCGTCAAAAGATATTGCCAACGTTTCAATTACGTTCTCAATTTTAAAACCTTGTTAAAGAACTCTCAAGATTTCAATTGATAGAAGAAAAAAAAAACACATTCTCAGAAATATCAACATTGATAAATGATTATTATATATATTAAAAAATTTATTCATTTAAAAACTGGTCACTGAGATGTATGATAGGGAATAATTAAAATATGTCTCGATTATATTTTTTTCTTCAATGTGAATAATTCGATCTCAATAAAATATTGCTTGTATATTCATCTTTTTAAAAGGAATATATATACAATAATAAAAATCCACGAACGTATAACCATTGGAAAAAGAAATGACGTCACACACGACTTTTATGATACATTATTCCCAAATGTGTATGTATATGCGTGCAATTGGTGAGGCCAAAAATAAATACGCGAGTTAAACTTATATGTGCCCGCAGACTTTACGACGTGTAAATCACAAATTTGAAATGCCAGGATGCCCCTATGCCCTGTCCGTTAAACTAACGTAACTTAAAGACAACTTTACGACACTACTACCTATAACCAGTCGATTAATCATAAGTCACTATGGATTAATATACATAAAATATATTTCTCAAAAATAAATTTCAACTATTTATACGATATTCTATATCACTGTGTCCTCCGTCTAAAATTCCTTTGGAGGAATCTTCTAAAAATAACAATCAACAGATTGAAATGTTTAATCTTTGAAAATTTAATTCAGTCTGAATTAAAATTTCTACGTTAAAATAAAAAATAAAGCAAAAAAAAATTAAATTCGCTGGGTTAGTGGAAAAAAAGGATACGTCCGTTTGATTTAACTATGACGTGTCCTTTTTTTCCAATAACCCAGTGAATTATTGACAAAAAAATGTGGAACGCTTCACGATTTTGCGTGTCATCCTTGCGCAGGGGCCATGCTAATCTTCTCTGTACACGGAGAGAAAAAACGAGCCTTTACAGCATGGACCTATATATGCTCTCTTCGTACGCGCCTCTACCGTCCATCTTCGGTACGACCTTATACTATATTTTCACTTGCCCGTACTAAAATAGTAAGGAGCCGAGCTACTACAGCAAGAGATGGTACCGAAGATGGACGATAGAGGCGCGTACGAAGAGAGCATACATAGGTCCATGCTGTAAAGGCTCGTTTTTTCTCTCCGTGTATCGTTCCAATTTTAGTATATGTACTGCCGAAGCAAGTACGAAAGGTAGTGACAAATCTTTTCTTATATACTAAACATCGATTTCCTAACACCACTTGTGAGAGACATTTTACATTAAGCAACGACATGTAGCCTCCTAGCGGTGGTTAACGTAACTAAATGTAATTAGAAATTCCTACTCGGTCGATAAAACCAAATAAGCCTGATAATAATGTCTCTCATGAAAAAATTAAAAATTAACCAAAAGTTTGTTTTATGTGCTTAAAAATTATGCACAATTTTTAAATATATGGTTACAATACATGAGAATATATAAAAAAAAAAAATAGATAAAATTTGAAAAAATTAAACTCACATTAATATGGAGAATCCTGTGTAGATGAATCCTGTGTAGATGAATCCTGTGTAGTTGAATCCTGTGTAGATGAATCCTGTATAGATGAATCCTGTGTTGAATCCTTCTAGATAAGATACCCTTTTTTACACCATAAGCCATCCAAGATAGAATCTGCAAAAAGAAAATTAATTAAAATAAATTCTATAATTAAATTAAAATAAATTAAATAATACTGATTTAATTAATTTCTTAATAACAATAAGAATTTTTTTAAAAATATTTACAATTTATTGCACCAAATCATAAAAATACGTTAAAAAATTAAGGATGCAAAATAATGAACATTATGGGATTAGTTCAAGTTTTAATTCTGTACTCCATTAATTTAATAAATTTTTTTTAATAAAATATTTTAATAATAATTATTTTATATTCTCATTATATTTGTCTCTTATTTTCTATTGAAATATTGATTTAGAAAATCAAAAATAAATTCCATATATATAATTGTTTTTTTTTGTATTTAAAGGGAATAAATGTTTTATTAAAATCAAAAAGTAAGTATACCGCAAAGTGCAGTGACTAATTCGATTGGACACACAAGTTTTTAACTGACCGAAACATTTTTTAAGAAAGAAAGAATATGAAACATGATCCCTATATTATACATTCTATGGATGCACACTTGTTCTCTGCTTCGGTAATTTTAAACCATATGTTGAATTTAAAATAAGATAATTTTTTCCTAGAAAAACCTGAGCTTAAACTTTTCCTCAAAATTTTCAACTTGAAGCAATTTTAAAACATGTGGAAATGATATTTTTTTTACTGCGATGTCACGAATTGAAGTGAAAAAAAAAATAGAATTTCTGAGAAGAGTTACATATAAAACATTAATTTGTATTTAAAGAAATAGGCGCGAAAAAAATCATTTTTATCATCTTTTTGTGAAAAATTGTTTATTTTAAATTAAATTAAAAATTTTAATTCTTTTTAATTCATTCAATTTTTAAAAGTAAAAAATTATTTGCGATAATTTGATATTTGAGTGTAGGTAAACAAATTTTTTAAAACTTTTTTCCGAAATTATTTACTCCATTTTTTCCCTCTTAAAAAGAAAAAACTTGAAATCCTACGCCAAAATAAAGAATATTATAAACAAATTAAAAGTCCTACAAGAAAATTTGAAATTTGCTGCTGAAAATAAATTACTAATAGAAAATTAACTTATGTAATTGAAATTAATAAAACTTTTGTCTGAACAGACATGATATATTTTTTTTCCCCTTGTCTTCTTGTTGTTAATCGATCTGTAAATACTTGCTCGAGAATTATACCAACAACCATTGGGCAACATCCGCAGCGAGTAGTGCATCATGTGACTGACATTGAATAATCATGTGCCTCGCGCGAAAAGTACCGGAGAAGCAATATAAGAATGATATTTTATTTCAGTAGTCATTGGCTTCTGTTGTTACTCGGTCGTTGCCACTTCACTTTATTCGAAAATGCTACTGTATCGTTTTAGGATACAGCTGCATCAAGATCAATTTATCCTCCAGAGGAGATAAAAAAAAATAAACGCGAGAGAAAATAGAAGAGATGCGAGAAGAGAGCTCCAGCTTTTAATCTCTGTTAAACAGTGAACGATCGAGATAAAAATAATTGAAAATTTCAGGGAGCTAAATTTTGAAAGCTCATCTTCAAAGGATAAGAATAATATTATAGATGAATCAGAAACATATATCCTAATTAATTCAAATTAGGATCAAATATCGAACTCCTTTTTAATCTTTGTCATAAATCGAAAAAGAAAATTTAAATAATATTCATTTAAATAGTATCAAATTTTTATTCAATATATATATATTTTGGAAATTATGTAAACTTTGTAAAAATTATAATCTCCCTGACTTGCACAAATCGTAGGTTATTATTTTTTGATTAAAACCTGATCATAACAAATATTTCGAAATAGCTTCTGGGTAAAGTTGATTTTTTCTTTTCTTTTTTTGACTGCTTAATCTTTGAGGAGGAACGGCGCAGAGGTAGCAATCTCGACGAAGGAGAGAAGTGGTTCGACGATTTTAATCTCTTCGAGTGGCCCTTGTGGCTTTGAACTGAACCCTATCTTCGTCTTTCCAGAGTCCTAAGACTCCCTTCTTCTTCTTCTTCTTTTCTTATTGCTCACACATACAGTTTTCTTTCTTTTTCTGTATCACATTCTCTGTTCCTTTTCTTCTCAATCTACTCTATAGTCTTTTCTTAAGAATCGCTACCACGCAGTATACGAGACTACTACTTTACAACACTACATATACGATGCATTTATAAGACAGAGATAAATACACTGGACCAGCAAATATACAAAATAAAGAGAGATAAAATTGTATTTCAAAAACAAAGCGATAATTTAAATTTTAGAATTTTTTAAAAAAATTTTAATCAGTTTATCAATTATTTCAGATAGTGATAAAATATCGAAAATATCCAAAACATTCAATAAAAGAAACATGGAATAATTTAAATTAAAGAAAAAATAAGGAAAACAAATATTTTCATAATTATATTAATATTAATTTTCAGTTCAAAATATCAAAAAACATTTTCATTTGAACTAGAGAAAATATTAATATGTAATTTCAAAATTTCTTTATTTTGCGTGCGCACAGTCTAATTTTATAATTATTTTATGCATTTGTAAATTTTTATTTAATTTTTATAATTTCAATGTGAAATTGCAAAGTTTTCAGAAGTTTAAAAAGCGATATCATTTTAAAACATTGTAATAATCAGGAATAAATAAATCAATTTAGATAACAATGATAACAAAAAATAATTTTAAAAAACGTACTTGTAAAATTTGACGGCGAGGTGATGTCAGGATATCCTCTTTAGACACTCCTATCCTCTCTTCATTACGAAAACTGAGGGTTCCCTTGAATCCATCACTCACTATGATTTTTGTCTCCACAGTTTCATTCTGAAAAAAATGTTCAATTATTAATAAAATAAATTTTAAAAATTATTTCGCAATAAATTTAAAACATTTATATAGAAAAAGTAATAAATATTTGTGATAACAAAAATAATAATAATTATATTTTAGTTGAAAGAAAATAATTAATATTTTTGATAAAAAAAAAAATAATAATTATATTTTAGTTGAGAGAAAATAATTAATATTTGTGATAACATAACTAATAATAATTATATTTTAGTTGAGAGAAAATAATTAATATTTGTGATAATATAACTAATAATAATTATATTTTAGTTGAGAGAAAATTAATATTTGTGATAACAAAACTAATAATAATTATATTTTAGTTGAGATGCAGTAAGGCGATATTTTTGATTTTCAGAAAAAAATTACTTTTTTGGCAAAATAATATTAAACAATTTTTGATGCTGCATTGATTTGGATTTTAATTGTACAAAATTTTTTATTTTTATTCCCAATTTAAAACAAATTTTATACTAAATTCACCTTTTTGTTTCACATAAAATTGAAATTGCACTGAATTTACTAATATAACCTAAAAACTTTTTTCTATTTATAAAATAATGTAATTAAAATGCAATGAAATAAATTTACCAAAAAGAAATGCAGGGCTACAATATTTTCTTAAAGAAAAAAAAAATATAAATTAAAGATAAAAATTACAAACAAAAATTGTTGTAATTTTTCAATATATAATTTGTTGGCAGCAAAAAAATGATTTAGTTTATATTTTTCAATGAAACGAAAAATATGTCAAGTTAAACTCAGTGTATGTAATTATTTTACAATAAAATACGTTTAAAAATACAATTTAATTTATAAATTTTTTTTCGTTTTATTAGTATAAAAAAATTGAATTCTTTTTAATTAAATGCAAATATATTTTACAAATTAGCTATAGAGAATAATGGGAGAATATATTATACTTACTGTGGCTGAAATTTTACCTCAATATTTGATCATTATTACATATTTATGACGATATCTTTTATTTTTGATTATATTTGAGAAACTTGAGACTTCTAAACCTGACACTTAATTTTTAGCACTGGGAAGTGAATTTCTCATTGGTCACGTGACCTAAAATGAATATATAACGGTTGCAAAAACAAAAATATTGTCCAACTTTGCAACACACGTCGATAAAAGAAATATCTTTGTTAAATTATCACCTGATAAGCAGAATAACGTCTTATTAGAAAAGAAATCTCTAACATGAAAAAAAAAATTCCTATCTTATAAAAGCTTGATTTTTTTATTCGTTTAATTTACTATTTTTATATTAATTATTCATAAAATAAAATTTTTATATTAATACGATTTGCATTATACATTTACCTGTATTATCTTGTTTAACATTGCGATGCTAAACTTTTTGGGTTAGGTCTCCGCGTCAAAAAATTTTATCGAAATATACTAAATTTTCTTTTTTCCTGTCATGAAACTTTTATAAATTTTCGATAATTTAGACAAATTTGAACTTAATTACAATGAAATATGTGTAATTAACGTTTTGGATTAAAAAAATACTATAAGATGAAATTTAGACGAACAAAATATGGATCTCCTACTTTTTGACGACGCCTTTTGCAATGAGCCGTACTGCCAACCAAAGATTCCAAAAAACTAAACTTTTCACTTTTACCAATATGACTATTATTAAACATATTAAAGCAAAAACTAATTTAACTTCCCTAGAAATAAATAAAATTTGATAACTCTCATTAAAATTTGATTGCGTTTTATCTGATATAGGAAAATATTAACCAATATTCACGACAAAATCCCTTTTTATAACAATTGAAATCGATTGTGTAAAACAGCAGGCAATAACATCTTGATTTACGATATAAAAATAAAAAATAATTCATATTTCATACCTATATCATTGAATTTCTAGGTGTTTAAAAGCACTTCTTTTTTCTTTTGTTCATAAATTCTCCTCTTCAACTGCTAACAAGTGGGGGAAGTCAATGATTGTTGAATTAAAAATATTTAAAAAAATTTTTCGAAGCGACGTGAATCCTTCCTTCAAGACGTCCAAGATGGGAATGAGTGTGCGCGGTGGAGAAATTTTATTTTATACTCGGCTCGATACTGGGGCTCTGGCTGCCGTGCGCTGATTGGACGGGCCACTCTCTGCGACAACTAGACGCTGATTGGCCGGGCGCACTAGTAGCCAACGTCTATAAATATAGGCTGTTTTTTATCAGCGCTTCAGTCTTAATAATAAGTTTTTTATTAACATTTTTACTTAAATAAATATTATTTTAACTAACGATCATAACCGATCTAAATCAAAAATATAAATAAGAAATCAGAGATTTTTATTTACTGGGGTTAAAGTTCCTAAGAGAACTGCGTACCCGAAACGATAGCTTATATATTTTATAATGTTTCTTTTGTAAACTTAACTGTGTATTTTATGAACAATAAATATATTTTTCAAAAAAAAGTCAGCGCTTCAGTGAGCAGTAGATTCTTCAACAGACAACATCTGCGCAGCTTGAAAAAAATATTTTTAGCATTTCTTCCTTGCTGGGACTGGACAATCACTTCCAATGTTGAGGATTGTATAATCGCATTATGTGGATAATGTCTATAAATATAGGCTGTTTTTTACGAGAGCTTCAGTGAGCAGTAGATTCTTCAACAGGCAACATCTGCGCAGCTTGAAAAAAATTTTTTAACATTTATTCCTTGCTGGGACTGGGCAACCACTTTTAATGTTGAAGAATGGATAAGCCCATTATGATATCAAGTGGATTAATTATGTATTGTAGGATCATAAATGGAAGAAAGAAGTAATTTGTGGTTAGTATTGAATTTTTTATATTATTTAAACAAATTGAAGTTTTTTTTTCTATATATTAATGAGGGAATTAGTACAGACAACTGATATCCCGAGCACAGTCTAGCCATCTTATTAGGAGAAAAAATTGATTAGATTATTCTTAAAATTTTTGGACGATAAAGTAAAAGAGTGAATATAACAATGACTTATGTTGAATAATTCGATCGAGGGGGAATATTGATAGACAATAAAAGATATTTATATTATAAATAGAAATATGTGGTATAAATAAGTTTCGTGCTCTGGGACAGTTGGTAGCCTTGCTAATGTCGTCCGACGATATTATTAATCGATTGTTGGTCGATAATTGTCGTACGGTGTGATTTGGCGTTACTGCATAACAAAGATGGCGGAAATGCTGCTCTGTGCCGGTTTAATTGTGTCATTTTATACGTTTTTATCTTGAGTTTTTTTTGGATATACATGTGACTTGATTTCTTCTACTGTTATTGACTAATAAATCAACTACTTATACCCAGCAAATTAGTAAAAATCAATAAAAAAAAAAATGATGTGAAAATTTGATACGTATCAGACGCGTGATGAACTTTCAGTCGTAAGTACTATAATTTCTTCTCGCTATTTAACATCTGAATTAATTCTACATTCTATGAATATAGAACTCATTCTTTTTGATATTAATCGGTTTCTGACAATATATGCATAATAATCAATCAATGTGAAAAAACAACAAAAATTTAAAAGGGTTCCATTGTTAGGTTAAGATGAGTTTTTTTTTAAAGTCGTCAATCCTCTTTATCGTATAAATTATCCTTCTTTGATATCCTTTCTTACATTCACGACTTTTTTACATCATTAGTGGCTTTTAACGATTTCCTTTCTCGTCTCTTCAACTTGAGAATAAAACCTAAAAATTAATGACTGCGTGCAGCTTCATGACCGTTAAAAGCTTCTAGTCTTATAATATATTTAAAAGAATTACTTTTCTCTTTTCTTTAACGCGTAATTGCACGAAGAAAATTAACCTTTATAATAAGGCAAAATAAAAAATAATTAAAGAGGGCCATATAAGAGAACAATAATTTTTTCTTGTCAAATGTCAAATAAAAAAATTATCGTATCATGTTTGTAACTTTAGCTATATGGAAGCTACTACATTTACGGCGGGTGGTCCATAATAGTGGCATGAATGGTAAGTTATTACCAGTAACAGTAAATTTAAGAGGCAAAAGAAATAAATTTGTTGTTCTGCAGGGTTGTAACATATGCTAATTTGCGTCTCGAGACTTTTAGCATAAATAGTTAAATATTAAAAAAAAAGAGAAAAACATATTTTTGGTACTTGCAATTCTATAATCGCAAAAAGTGTGAAAAATTTGAAATAAAGTATATTTTTAAGGTTTAAATTTTTGAAATAATAAATTATAATAATTAAATGAAAAAATTAAAAATAATGAAAATAAATTGTTCCATTAATTTTTTTTTTTTTGCTAATTATTTTAAACGGCATTTACTTTGAAATTAAAGTCGAATTTAGAGACGAACTATTGGAGTTTATAGAAATTAATAAAAATTGAGGGCGTCAATCAACGTCAGTTCCCCTACACCTTAAACCACTACCTCTTCCTTTACCTCTTCGTCCACATCTTCTTCTTTTCCACTCTTTCTTTCCTCTCTCTCTCTCACACACTCTAGAGTTGCTGTTTTCTTTTTCGTCGTTTTGTTGCTCCTCTCAATCTTTCCTTTCTTCATCTCTCTTTCGTCCTCTCCAGTAGTGTAATGAACAAGAGGAAACAATTAAAATATTTTTTAATATTTTATCCCTCATACCTCGTTTCTCTTTTGAAAAATCTCTCTCTTAATTTGTTTCTTTTCCAAACGATAGAAACGAAGTGACGACAATAATTAAAAATTATTTTTCTATACTTAGAAATAATCATGTAGACTAAGTTGTGCTACTTTTTTTTAAAATCTCTGAAATAATTAACATAAGACTGTGACGTAATTTTGGTTTTCATTGTTTTTGCAAAAAGAAAAAATCTATATTTCGTATTGAAAAATAAAAATATTTTTTGTGGCATTTTTCGTATAATGATATTTTTAAGATTTTGAATTTAAAATTTGTTTTTCAGTGTCTCGCATGAAATGAACACACGTGGAACCATAATATCGTCGGCCCTGCGCCTACTCCTTGAGGGCTCACCTCTCTTTCTCGTTTTTTTTTTCTTTCGCTCTCCAGCTTCTTTCCTTCCTTAACCTCTTGTCTCTTAAAAATTTCTTTTTTTTTCTTTTTTGTTCCAAGGAGTAAACCGTTGAATACAGTTTGAGCGAAGCGTGTCTCAACACGCGGGATGCAGGATCGAACTCGTCTTTCGATATACATATATATATATATATATATATATATATATATATATATATATATATATATATAGTGGCTTGAAATTCACGATATATTCCTTTCTCTTTCCTCCCCCACATTTGGGTTACCATCTTCTTTTGATTTTATGAGAGAGAAACAAAGACGAGCAAAATATATATATATATATATATTAATACGCCCGTGAGTAAAACTGACTCACTCTGGATTAGTCAGAAGATAAAGAGATTCGATTAAGTAGCATTTGGTATTTTACCTATATCGAATTTTTTTTTTTCATCATCTTCAACCTGATTTATTATGCTGAAGACGAGTTTAATTCAAATTATATGATTTAATGAGAAGCTACAAGTCCTTGAAAATATTATGATTATATTAAGAAAACTTTAATTTGAATTTGAAAAAATGTGAATAATATACATGATTGTAATTTTTAATCAATTATTTTTTTAAAAAAAGATTTTTTAATTTATTATCTAACATTTCCTTAATATTGTAATATTTAGTTAACTTTATTAGGGAAAAATTACAATCATATTATAAAATTGTGTAAAATATTAGAAAATTTTATACTACATAAAAATATTATTTTATAGCATAAGATTTCTATTTTTCTATAATAATTTTTCGTTTTAAAAACACCTTTAAAGTAAATATGAATGTTTATATATTCAATTGACTACTTAAAAAAACATTATTTTAAATATGTATAAAAAGAGATGGCAATTTTCGTTATCATCTTAATTAAATTTATAACGAAGATCGTTAATAAAAGAGAAGAGCAAGATACTTTTATATATTGTATATATAGTTGGGAAACTTGAATCGACTCTCGTATCATCTTGATCATTCAACGATAAAATTATTATTTTAGTAGTTATTTTAAAATTGAAAAGAGAGTAAATATACATTTTAAAGGATAATTTGCATTCTAGGTATATATAACTTGCGGCGGAAGAGATGTAAAGTTGGCTATATAAGTTGGGCAAGGTCCTGTTCGTGGCCATGATGGAGACGTCCTTGTCTATAGAAGTTTACTATCTGCAAAAATAGATATAAAGAGGTTGACGCACTCATGGACTACATATTGCGAAATCTTGGTGAGTAAATTCATCATATATAAGATAACTTCGATTTCTTTTTTAAAAATACATTAGAACTAGATAATTAATTATTATTATTTAATTGAAAATAATTTCTATTATTATTTCCTTACATTTTTCGTGAATAACGTTTTTCTTTTTAAAACTATTCGAATTCCACAAGAATCAGTAAATATTATCATTCCATTATTGTCAGCTAAATAAAGAATTCGAATTTTTTTTTTTTTAAGTCTCCATTAACGATTGATTTTTTTCAATAACAAATGCAGTCTCTTTTCTTTTCGAAACACGTCATGGTCAATTTCGATAAGAAAACATATGCTCGATGAATTTGCGATAAAAATTGAGGGTTGAGATCAATTTATTATAAGGTTCTTAGACTGTTAACGACGTCGTAATGAATATAAAATCATCTTTAAAAGAGCGTCTTTTGGGCCTTTGGTATACATACATATACGAAAGCGACGAAGAAATGGAAGAAGAAACGATACGAGAAAGTGCGAGCAAACAAGAAAAAAAAATTTTTTTAAAAAAGGAAGAGCAGCGAGGAGAAGGAAAAGAAAAATAATGATAAAAAAAAGAAGAAGAATATACAAGAGAGAGAGAGAGAAAGAAAGGATCCGATTGGCTGGTTTTTAAACACACGCGTCTTTTCTTGGACCAATGATTCATCATCATGTATGTATGTGTGTATGATGCATTCACAATAATGGTGAACATGTGAGCCTATACTCCTTTTATCATTATAGTAGTGATAGTGAAAGAGGGCATTTTGCCTCGACACGTGGTAATTTACAACTGTTGTGTACGATCTTTGATAGAGCGTAAACACAGTGTAGCTCCTTCAATATATAAGAGGCATCCCTCTGGGCTTACGCACTTTTTCTAGTTTTTGCAACTTTTTGAATTTTTTGTTTCTCAACCCTAATTATATAGGGCTCACTCACGGTAATTTAATTATAATATTTTTTTCGTCCTGATAGTTATTTTCTTCTTGAGGTATTTCTTCATTTTCGCTTTCTTTTCATTCTTAATAACTACATTGTAGTTGGACCGAGGGAAAAAATATTTTTTTAAAAAAATTCATTCTTTTCGCTTGATTTTTAAAATTGACTCGAAAAAATTTTAATCAAACTTAACATAATTTAGGAAAAAAAGGAAAAAAAATTTTCTAGTTAAAAAAAAATGTTGTAATCGTGCTCTAATGGGAGAAAAAAATAATTAGAGGATTTTTTTCCACCCTTAGGCAAATTTTAAAGTTTTTGGTATACCTATATATGAGGATTAATTTAAGCATATCTAATTCGATTTGAAAGCACGATGCTCTGCTTAAGATTTTTATTCATCTTCATATCCCTCATCATCTTGCCCTTTAGAATGTCGCAGTTGAAAAAGCACAACGTGATAAATAATCGGAAACTCGTTTCGGCTGATAAAAGATTGCAAAAGATAGCATGGCGAATGAGATGATGAGGGTGGCTGGGGTGGTATATTGTGGGATGAGAGATAAGAAAAAGAGAAGAGGTATATATTGTATATATATATATCTATATAGTGCCTAGATGGAGGCCAAAGGCAGATTATTTACTGCTCGGGCAATAATAACCAAGGATAACGCGTGCCTTTATATTGTCCGTTCATGTGTATACATGTGAGAACATATATATGTGATGGCTCCCGAAATACGCGGTCCATCATTCTTCGCATGTGTGTACAACACGGTTAGAAAGTCCTGTATCCTCATCGCAATTCTCTGAAACACTAATCCTTTCTCGAAAATTATTTTATTCTTTAAATTCGATTCTCCTTTCAGCTTCTATATACTAAATATCTTTGAATAATAGTTCAGAATTTAAATAATTAAAATTTTATCGTTCAACCATCAATATATATTATTATAAATTAGAGTCGAAATATAATCTCTAATCACAAAATAACAGAGAAATTGAAAAAATGCAAAAGATCTCATTTTTCAAATATTGTTTGCCTTTCTTTTTTTCTTACTTTTATTTTTTGTTTCGTTAAATTATTAATTTATAATTTATAGTGAATTTTAATGTGATATAAATATTTGTTTTCATTTTTAATATTAATTTTAATCGAAATACATCAACTAAAAATTTTTCGAACGTCATGATGAATAAATTATAGACTTTACAATTTCTCAAAGTTGTAGAATAAAAAATATGTTCAGATCTTTTTGTGTTTCCTGTGGGGAAAATGAATTTTTTGATTTTATAATTAATTAAGAAAAAAGACGTAGGTAGTCTTTGTGACGCACGAACGGAATGCCGGTATATCCTTTATTTTCGTTAGGAATGTCATATATTTCCTCTATTTATATTTTAATAATTAATTTTAATCGAAATTTTAAGTAATATTTAAATAATATTAATTTTTAGTTTTTTTTTTAATGTACATATTAATCTAATTTTAAATTAGACTCTGTAATTCTTTAAAATCATCATATCATGTAAATATATATTTTTTTCTAGTTTAGCGTTTAGAATAATGTTTTTTCATATTTTAATCAAAATCTTTTATCTTTAATCAAAATTAATATTTTTATCTTTTAAAAAATCATGTGTCTAATTTTTTTTTTGAATTTTCGTTTAAGATTCTACGTGAGGGATCAAAATCGTAATCACGTTCTTGTTGGATCTTCACCGACGAATGATAATCGCATAGAAAATTCCTTGGTGCATTCTCTCATGTTAGAGCCCCGCGAGATACAGAGATCTCATAACTTCGGATCAAGGAAGCCTAAGGCGGTATATGAGTATTCCAGGCAAGTATGATGAACCACCATATGAAAAATAAATATACACGCATGCATAGATATATAGATATATAAATGCACTATGTTCGTATAAACATTAAAACCAAATGCATTCGCATATATGGCTGCAAGTATATATCCTAAGTGCTTTGAGTTTTAATGCTTTAATGACATGTATCAAGGATTCATGGGGTTGGCTGTATAATGCAGTCTATATGTTGTACCTTAACATATTATTATCATTAGTCGTGACTCAAGAAACATACAATAAAACCTCGCTCGTCACAACAAAGAACTCTACGAATTACCACTTAGGTTTAGACAGCCCATTAAACAATTGTCGGAATAAAGACTCGAAAACAAGATCGTAATTATATTTCAAATTTTGCTTATATATCCTCGCAATTTTATTGGTCCTTAGCTCTCTTTTTTTTCTCTCTTGGTGACGGGAATTGTCTCCAAATGATCTGAGAATTCTTAGAAAATTATAGTACGAAATCTCTTAGTTTTTTTTCCTTCTAATTTTATTTATTTATATATAAAATTTAATCATAAAAATTGAAATATAGATGAGAAAATAAAAGCGCAAAAATCAATTTATCATTTACTTGGCATTGTGATCTGGATTAATGATCATTTCTCAAATTTGTAGTTTGTCGAAAGAGAATTTTTTCCAGCCGATAAAATTTGAATTGAATTAAATCCCGATATCTTGAAGAAATGGATCTTTGATTTTTACATTATTCGAATAAATAGAAAATTCGTTGCAAATGGAAGAAAAAAAAAGAAAAAGATACATATGTAGTCAAGAAAAACTCAAAAGAAAGTCATGTAGAAAACGATTTTTGACAATAAAAAAAAAATAATGGAAAGCAAGTGAAACGTGCGTGCCTAAAGAAAGAAAAAAAAAAGATGAAAAGAAAGAAAATGAGAATTGTATAGTCTTGTATTTAAAAAGTAACGAGAAAAGCATTGATAACAGTGAACAATACAAAGTCGTAAATCAGATCCAATGTCAAGTATTTCAAAAGGAGAGTTGTATATACATACAATAAAAGAAATTTGTGTTGCCAAAGGTTTTTTACTTGTTTGACAAGACAATTATATGGAAATAAAGTTTGCAAATTTAACAAAAAAAGAATAAATTCGTTAATTTTTTTGATTAAATTTTTTATTTAATTATTTTTATTTATCATTGATTCGATTTTTCTTTAATTATTATTAATTAAAACTATTCAAACATTAAATAATTTCAAAATTAATAATTAAAATTATAAATTTATTCATTTTTGTTAAATAAATTCAAGTTTTCTCAATATCGTTTTCAATGTTTTTCACAATTTGGACTAAACAAAATTTGTTTTCTATTTTAATTCAAAAATCAGTGATTAGTTCTAACCTCGGTTCTAACTTGAGGTAACTCAATTCGTTTTTTTTTTTTCTTCTCAAATCTCAATTTACTCAAACAAAACATACCTTTAGGAATTTAAGGGAGTGTGAAATTGAAACAAATTATTTGTTATTTCTAGTAGACGCTTAATGACATAATTTTTTCTCCTGCAAATAATTTTAGCAATTTTGGGTTTCGGTTTCTTGGCTCGCTTTTTTTTAAACTCTTAAATTGAAAATCGTTAGGTGTTATTAGGAATTGTACAAAATCAGCTTCTTGAGAATTATTGAAAAGATACAAAAGCTGTGAAGAAAGGGACGCGCAAACAAAATACATAAATATTGTTTTGTTTAGGTATACTATATATTTATTTTTCTCAAATTGTGTGTGCTTGTTATTTCGACAAATTGCAGCACGCGAACATCAGAAGAGTATAGGTTGCACATTTTTTTTTTTGGTAAAAGAGATTAGTGCGCGTGTGAAAGAAAGACGTAATGCAAATGACGCAGGACTAAAATGAAGATTGAGGTCGAAAAAAAGAGATAAGGGTGAGGGAGAGATAGACAAAGAGAGAAAAAAGGAGATAGAGAGAGAGAAAGAGATCGAGATCTTGAGAAGCTGCCACATGTCATTTGACATAAGCTGCATTGTAGCTTGTCTTTTAAAATAAGTTAGAGGGGGAATTTCTTTTGCACGATATATATATATATATATATATATATATATATTTGACAAAGAAATTGGATGACAATAGATTTCATAAATAGCGCTAACTCTCAAGATGTACTCTCATATGAAATGTAAATTCGCCATTCATTTGAACTGAATTCTTAGTTTTTGATTTATTGATAGTCAAAAGATATTAAGAATAACGGTCTCTTTATTAACTTTAAATAGAAGCTTATCAATTCTCGTTTCTTTTACATAAAGAGTAAAAATTATTTTCACGAAAATAGGAACATTAAAACGAGAATTTTCAATTATTATTTCAAACATTTCTAATTTTAAATATTTTTAGAAAAAGAAGTTTAGTTTTTTTTTCTATTTAAATAATGAGGAATATTAAACACTTTTTTTAAAATTTGTAATTAAAATAAGTGAATCTGATTTTATTTTCGAATTTTGAAAAATTGTTAATAGCGCGTTCCATTTATTTTCTTTCTCCCTCTGTTGTAAGAAAAGAGAATTTTTAAAAATGTTATTTTTACAAAATCTGTAAAAATTTTGAGTTTGTTATTTTACCGGGGTTATTTATAAAACATTTGGTCTCCGTCTTGAAGTAAAAGGAGAAATTATTGTTGGACCAGACGGTTATAAGTATAAAAGGGTCAGTGTCAGTTTCAATATATAGAAACGAGTTGTAGAGATGAACAGGTCATTGGAAGTATAGAGATTTTTTTTTCTTTCTTTCTTTCTTTCCTATATAATATATGTTGAGAGTGTTGTGGACAAGAGCGTTTTACGAGTTTAAAGGACAAGACTTTTGAATGTAAAAAGAGATTAGTTGTATAGTCACGTAGTTTTCTTAGAACTTAAACTATATTATAGTATGTTATATGTAGAAAAACTACGATGGACATCATATTCATACATATGTAAGATATAAATTGTAGCTTTTCTTGCGTCGAGAATTTTTTAAATTTAATTTCTAAAATTTTTCTCCTTTAATAGAAGTTGTGGCAAAAAAATTTTTTTAATTTTTTTTTAAAAATATGTAGACAAGCAAAAATAGAAAAATTAAAATATATATGAAAATATAAAAATATCAAAAATATTCGAGGATTAGAAAAATCTGAAGTCCTTTTTTTTATATACAATAGAGCAGGTAGTCGTGGGTTATAAAGAAGTGCTTTAAAAAATTGAATAAAATTCGCCCCACGAACTTCAGAAAAACACATGTGTCGGGGTGAAGAAAAACTTCTCATATTAAGAGAAAACAGGTTTTTAGAGCGAAGTTGGGGGAAGTAAAATATACATTCCAGAGTCATGGGAAGATTCAAATTGGAAAAATAGGGACACTGTGTAGTTTCACAGAGAGAAGTAAAAGCCGTAGCTAAGATGCTTGGAAATATATTTTTAGCAGTCATTAATCAAACGTTTCAATTAATACATCTTCGACTTGATTTTTTTTAAATTCAATTTTTATTATTATTTTGAAATTAGAATTTTTTTGTAAATATTTTAAAATATGTTTTTATTAATATAATTTATATTTTTATTAGAATTTGTATTTTTTGTTTGCAATTTTTATTTTTAAATTTTTTGTCACACTTTTTACTTAGTTTAAAATTTTGTAACTGCAATAATTAACAATTCAATAGATAATAAAATAAATATATAAAGAATGAATGGAGAAAAGAAATAAATTTTTCTATACTTGGAATTGATTTCTGTTTAAATAAAGTGTATATTGTATTTGAAAACGGTTACTTTTTGGCTTATATTATAAAAGAGGGAAAATGATCCAATAACTGTCCAATGATGTTAAAATTGGAGTATATGCATTACCTATAAATGTCAAAAATTATTATTCTACTATATTTTTTTTCAAAAGATTTCAAGTGATTATCGATATATTTTCCCACGGGGTGTGTTCTAAAATTATCGTATATTTACGTTAATATAACATATATTGTTTAGAACAATGAATTCTTTGCATTTGGTTGCTTTTCAAGTGAAAGAAAATACTTAGTATATGTGTGACATTAAGTACGTCGTAAAATTCAGGACTTTAGATGGAAAATTGAAGTTTGAGTCAAAAGATATTGAGAGTCAACGGCTTTGCCTCATACTGTGACAAAATCCAAACATGCAACACAAATGGTTTTTTTTCTGAATTCTATATTTATGTATATGAATATCACTTTAGGATTATAAATATTTCCGTTAGTAGAGATTTCTTTTTTATCTTTTTTACAAAATTTCCGGATTATCAAATTTTCAATTTTTTTGTTATTGTAATTTTTTATTTCCTTTCAAGGAAATAAATTTTGGTTATTCATGTGTTTTTTGAATTAGTTAACAGATTTTGACTATTTTTAAAATCGTTTTTGGTTTCTGTCTATTCATTGTTTGGTTTTTCTTTTCTTGTTTTCTTATTTTCGTTTTTTTTATTTCTTGTTTGCAAGTTTCAAGAAAAAGGAATAATGGAATTTATATTTAAGAATTTTGTTTACTTTTATTCGAGAATATTTGGTTAATAATTTATATTTGTTAATTTGCAGAAGACGAACGTGTTTCTTGAAGTTCAATAAATTGTTATTTTATGTTTTGGAATGAGATCTCCACGTACGTGATTTAAGAATTATCAGCGTGAATTTCTTCGACAACTTATAAACATTTCTTCTTTTTTTGTCGCACAAAAAAAGAAGATGATTTTCGTTCTGAATGGATTTACTTGTGTCTTGTGTACGATGCACATACGAGGAAAGTTGCTCGATTTTATGTTTATATACATATACGCAATGAATAGGCCCTCTTTTTGAATGTATATGTAGATGCAATAAAGTGCTTGAATCGCGAGTTGGATCGAGACCCCCATAAATGGATGCGAGCAGTGCTTTTTGTGCTCGACACCTCCTTAACGAAGCACCCTTCGACGACTATATACTATATATAGGTTATATATACATTCGACAAGATTCGAGCACCTGCAGGA